CTGACATTATGGCCGCTGACTATAAGGAGAAGGTGGGCGGTGCATTTCAGTCATAAGCGTACTTAAAACTAAAAGTTCTTATAGATATATTCAGAATTACTAATTACTCGTTGTCCATTATTATAGACATAGAGGGTTACAAACAGCATTAAAAAGGCTAAAGATAAGTAAAACTTTATACTGATAACTTTTTTTGTACCAATATTAGACAAAATAGGTAGTAGGTATATTTCATATTATAACATTATGATAATGTAATACCATACTCACAACCGTTGTAACACTAGTTACACCACCCCGCAGAAATTTAATATTATTATAAATAAATCATTTATTACCCTACGTCTGCCTAGCATTAATCGCGCTGGCTGATCCATACGTAAACTAGTCTTTTATTTAGTTCCTTTAGGTCCGGATCCGATAACATTATGCTGGCACTCCCCACTCCTGCCTAGCATTGATCGCACTGGCCCGATCCGTACGTACGTAAACTAGTCTTTTATTTAGTTTTAGTTCCTCTAGGTCCGGATCCGATAACGTACGGCTAGCACTCCCCACTCCTGCCTAGCATCGGGCTACGCGCGCTGGCCGATCCCTCGCCGTCGCATATTATTATACATGTATATCGGTCACAGTCTCGATCCCGGAATAGGTCCTGAGGAACTAGTTCCTTTCATTCCGGGGTTGGAATAGTTCATTGGAACTAGTTCGTTCACGAACTACACACCCCTAGCGCGAACGGGTCCGTGCGATGGGTTGCGCGGCGATTTGACAGAATATCGATTTTTGGGTGAACCATTAAAAGAAATATAACGAACAAAATGGACAAATTTCCAGACGAACTAACGGATCGTATCCACGAACCGCATCGACGACGCCCCGCATCGATCATCTTCCGTCTTAAACTTTGTCAGCTATCATAAAACGATTCTTATAACAATTCTAGAAAATTAAATTTTACAGAATTCATAAGTAAAACTTTTAAACTATAATTGGCTGTAATACTAAATCTAAATGGAAATAAAATATTAGTACGCCTATGACTCAAGAGTTTCATGGGTGACACGTGGCGACAGAAATTCCAAATGGCTTCCAAATCTTCGAGTGGGGAGATGAGACCAATCAGGTATGACATATCAAGTGGTGGGGGAAAGAAGTAAGAAATCTCTTAACATGGAGACGGTCCTTTGACCGTCTTTGATTGTCTTGAATATTAGTCATAGTTGCCAGGTGTAAGAAATTTCCCTAAATCTAGTAAGAATTAAAATTTAAATCATAGAAGTAAATTTTCGGAAAACATATTTTTTAGACAAAATTTAATGTGTGTTTTAATTTTGTTCCCAAACTTGGCATTTCTAATAGTATCATCAGAAAATATCTTTTAATAATTATACACTACTCAAAACAATTATCGCATATTTGAATAAAAGTAATTATTACATATTTCTAACTGAAGCATGCATTTTTCTGTCTTTCTCTTGTGAGTTTTTTTAGGATAATTAGGTAATGCACTGACATGTAATTTTTAGTCGGCCGACTTTGGACTTGGTTGCAAAAGTAAAAACAATACATTCTTATGGAGCCGATCGGGCCAATATTTCATTACATTGCGTAGCCTTAGGCTATGCGTTGACAGGTAATTTTAATCGGCCGACTATTTAGTTGCATATTTGTAACCAATATATTCTTATGGATATATATGAATATATTCTTATGGTCCACGTGCAATCAAATAGTCGGCCGATTGACTTCATAAGTATGTGTTGTTTTAACTTTTGCAACTAAATAGTCGGCCGACTAAAAATTATAGGTCTGCGCGTAGGCTTGTTTTATCGAATTTCCCTCCAAGTCCAAGTCAGGGAATTCAAAATGTCTTGTTTTTCAAATTAATATTTTTTTAGAAAATATGCGATAATTGTTTGGAGTAGTTTATTTTTTTTTAAATGTAATTTTTCTTTATTGAGATTTAAAACAAAAATTCTAACCAGAAACGAAAACTATTCTAACTAATGATATTATTTGACAATATGCTATTAGTTATGCAGAGGTTGTTAGAGGAAGTTTATCTGGCAACACTGAGTGCAGTCTCGAATTATCATCGGTATCGGAGTCGATTTGTGCTCCCACCATGCTCATTCTTAATCCCGCCTACACGTTTACGAACCGGCAACACTGTATCCCCCCTTTTATTTTGCGTCTCTCTCTGTCAACATGTCAATTGTATTATTCTCTGTCGTATCCATTAAAATCCTATACACAGTAATTAAATGACCAGGACTGTATATGAATAAAACTACCCACAGACCGCAGTTTCTGCCTTCTGGCTTCATCAGTGCGGGAGGACCAAGTGCGGTCTGCGGGTAGTTTTATATGAATAAAAATAACCAGGAATACTATATTTGAATATAGTATTCCTGGTGTGGGCTATGCCTAAGATTTTTTAGTTTAGTTGTTTTTATTTCCCACAATAATGCCATCTTCATTGTTTTGTTTAACCTCAGGCAAAGGTATGCTCGCAGCGGGGTGCGTTGGGGTGCCTCCGTAGCGATGTTGGTGATGATGCCCACGAATGGTGGGTCGCTGCTATATAGTGAAGCTGCAAATTGGTGCTTTGTGCCTCGTTTGCGCTCCTTGTTGTTTATATATGTGTGTTTCCTTATGGTAGTGTCAGGTCTTCTATCCACTTGGTCCTCCTGCACTGATAAGCCAGAAGGCATAAACTGCGGTCTGCGGGTAGTTTTATTCATATATAGTATTCCTGTGTGGGCTATGCCTAAGATTTTTTAGTTTAGTTGTTATAAATAAAGCTGTAAAGTTTAAGTCTAGTAAGATACTAATGATATAAAGTGTTTTTGGCTAGATAAAGGAATAGCTTAGGTTACTGATTGATTTTATAATAAATTATACTGAACTTATGATGAATTACTTTCTAAAATTTAAAAAAATTAAATCCACTATCCCGCCATTATGATTACTTTTGCGTCATAAAAGTAATTTAAAGTAAACTAGTTTTACTAAGTAAAGTAGTAGTAAACTACTTTTGTTTATTTTGTGGCTCTCTGCGTCACGTGCAAAATAAAAAGTTTCACTATCTCAAGGCAACGTTTTAAATTTTTAATAGCCACTTTTCTGCTTAGAAAAGATGAAAATGAAAACTGTTTTGTAAACGAAAATAACCGTGAAATATGCTGAGAGTGCTCTTAAATGATGTTGTTTTAATATAAAAACAAATTTGAAAATATAAAGATACGTAAGTGATTTAAATATCTAATAAATAATTAATAAATAATAATAGTTATAGTTTATTAATTTAATATTAAAATTAAGATAAGTAGTGGTAAGGTCAAAGTTGGAATTTAAATTTCTCATTACAAATTCTATCCTTTAAATATCCTGGACCCACCTATGGCTTCAACTTGCCATTTACCACTTGGATTTTTTGGCCAAAATTTTTGAGTAAAAATTGCACAAGATTTTTAAAAATGAAAAAAAATTATAACTCGATGAAGTTACTCCAAAATAATTATTAGTGGATCTATAATTCTTAAGTAAATATTACTTTTTTATATATTTATATCATTTATGAACAAGAAAGAAATAGCAAGGGAACTGTATAAAAAATAAGAAAAAGATTAAACGGCTCAGCCTTCAACAACTCGCAACCGTATACACCAGTGTACACCAGTGCAGACAAACACTGTGTACACTGGTGTACACGGTTGCGAGTTGTTGAGGGCTGAGCCGTTTAATAATTTTCTTATTTTTTATATCATTCAGCTAGTTGTTAAAATTAAGAGAGCGTTAAAGGTTTTTAATAGACGAATCTATTGAAAAATAACTAAAGTGTTCTTGAGCAGTTGTAGTTAAATATTTTAAATGGTTTTTTGTTTGTTCTTTCTGTGTGTTTTTTTCTGCTTTCGACAACGGGGGGAGATATACCTCCTGAAACGTTAAACATGTTTTTTTGGTCGTTAGGCAAATTTCCTTCTGCAACAAAATAAAACACTAATTCACTACAACACACCAAAACACTTTTACTTTAGCACTGAACGCGCATCAGCAGATGATTAAAACTAAACTAAAATCTACAAATTGAGCTTTTATATGAACAACGGTACTGAAAAATATTCTGCCGTATCTTTCTCCACTTGAAAAGTTGAATTCGCATACGTCAAAATATTTTTCATACCGTTTGAGAGAGTGTTATCCCGTGGTTTAAACATATTTTTTAAGATGTCAATTATAAATTTCTGTGTAGTACTAACAATAAACTACAACAATTATTAGGTAATCCTGAAGATAAAATACATCCACTGTAAAGGTCGGGTATTTATGAAATTTCATGTAAAGATTGTAATCATAAATACGTTGGGCAAAGTAGAAGATCAATATTAACTAGATTTAAAGAACATATGGCTCAGATAAGATATGGTAGACCGGATAAATCTTGCGTTGCCCAACATATTTTTGATAAAGGACATTGTATAGATATTGTTAAGGATATGACATAATCATATATAAGAAGTGGCAACCGCGCGAGGAAGTGGCAACGCGGGTGACCCTGTGCCGGTTGACAGAAGAAGAAGACAGACTGAAATAAGACATTGCAATTATTATAATTACACAATCACGTTTCCATTTTTATAATTTTCTTTCAATACAGTAATTGAAAATTTAATGTGACAATGTTATTCAACCTAGCCGCCGCTAGTAAGGGCAAGTAACACTCGGAACCAGAGCTATCGAAGGCGCTAACATTTTTGGTCCTACGAGCCCGATCGGATGGGTTGAAGATTCTCAAGTCAGTCTCGATTGAAGTCAAGTTTCAAGTCAAAGTTTAACAAGTAACACAAGTAGTAAGTGCAGTATTCCAGTAATCCACTTATCCACTTTTCCAGTTTTCATTGTCGTGTGAAATAGTTGAAAATTCCAGAAATCGTAAGTTTGTTCATGTTTTCTAGTTTTTATTGTCGTTTATTCACAAATTTTAACCAGTAAAGATGAGCGAAACTAACGAAACTTCACTAATGGAGTATAAAAAGAAACGTACTGCGATTAAAGGTAAAATTACGCGTTTTAGAAATTATTTTGAACAATTACGTGTTAACGAAGTGACAGAGCTTGAAATAAATAATTTATCAAGTAGATTTAAAAAGATTGAAGTACTCTATGATGAGTTTGATGAAGTTCAAAGTAATATAGAGTCGACTACGGATACTGAATTACCTAGCGACGTAGATAATTTAAGTAGAGAAGAGTTTGAAAATAGCTATTTTAATATTTTAAGTGAAGTTACGAATTTTATTGATATTTTTCAAGGTAATAAGGTTTCTATTGACAACTCGCAAAGTTTAATAAATCAAGTTCCACGTAATGCTGATTTATTTGACAATTCTATGGTTAAATTGCCAGTTATTAAGTTACCAGAATTTGATGGCAAATATACAGGGTGGCTAGATTTTAGAGATTCATTTTTAGCTCTAGTAGAGAGAAATAAATGTTTATCAAAATTACAGAAATTTATGTATTTGCGAGGTGCTCTAGGTAAAGAGGTTTTTAAGCTAATTGAAAGTATTGCACTTGAAGAAAGTAACTATGATATAGCCTGGCAGTTACTAGTTGATCGCTATGAAAATAAAGATTTAATTATACATAATCATCTTAAGATTTTGTTTGATTATCCTAAAATTACTAGAGAAGATCATGTTGAATTGAGAAGTATTTTAGACACGTATAATATGCACGTAAGGTCTTTAAAGTCCTTAGGCGAAAAAACAGAATCTTGGGATAGGTTATTAATTTTTCTTTTAACATCAAAATTTGATTCAAAAACTGTTTGTGCATGGGAGGCTTATAAATCTCAAACAACGCAAGTTTCTAAAGATATTCCTACGATGGTAGACATGAATATGTTTTTAAAATCTAGATGTGATATGCTAGAAAAATTACAATCCACGGAAATAGTTAACAAATTTGTTAGAAAACCCCCAAGTTCTAGTAAAAGTTATGTTATTCATGCTGAATCGCATGGTAATAAAAGTATAAATTGTTTTTATTGTAATAAAAATCACCCCATTTATTCTTGTGAATTATTTTTAAACTTGTCTATTGAAGAACGTCGATCTACAGTAAAACGTTTGAAACTTTGTGCTAATTGTCTTTTAAAATCACATTCTACTCCGCATTGTCAAAGGAAAAGATGCCCAAAATGCAATAGTCAACATAATAGTTTATTACACTTTGAAACGACGAATAGTCCCAGTTCGCACACGGCGGGCGGGGCGCCAAGGATATTAGAGGGGACCGGAGGGAGCACATCGCGCGTCTCTGCAGATTCAGCATTTTCGGGGATGCCTGGGACATCGGTTAGCGGTCACGCACTAAGCGAGGTTGCCGGCTCGTGTAAAATTAAGGAAGGTCTTCTGACTACCGCGCTAGTATATGTACAGGTCGGAAAACGTCGTGAAAAATGTAGAGCGATGTTAGATAATGGTTCTCAGGGTAATTTTATTACGGAACAGTTATGCGAAAAATTGAATTTAACGCCTACTAGAGTGAATCACGTGGTAGAAGGCGTAGGAACAGCGACTACAAGTGTAAGCCGATTTGTAGAAATATCTGTAAAATCTCGACTTACAGAGTTTTCAATTAATCTAGAATGTATGGTCCTTCAAAAAATTACTAGTAAAATTCCAAGCACGTCATTTCATAAAGATATTTTAAATTTAACGAATGATCTAAAAGAGGTAGAGTTTGCTGATCCTAATTTTAATATTTCACAAGGAATTGATCTATTAATAGGTACCGGAGCGTTTTGGAAATCTTTATGGCCCGAAAAGATCGAGTTAGGAGAAAATCTTCCTGTAATGCAGAACTCTGAATTCGGTTGGATAATTGGTGGCGAGTTATCAGCTAACAAGCCTATCTCTAGTTCAAAGTGCTTTTTAACCATCAGTGTAGATAACCGTGGTTTAGAGCAACAAATTGAGAAATTTTGGAATATAGAGGAGTTGCCAAAAAACAAAGTTCAGTTTTCAGAATCAGATAAAATATGTGAAAAATATTATAAACAAACGACGACACGCGATCCTGATACAAATAGATTTATAGTGAAAATACCGTTCAAGGATAATTTAAAATTGCTTGGTGATTCACGTGAAATAGCCTTATCTCGGTTTCTTGCATTAGAACGTAGATTTTTAAAAAATGAAAACTTGAAACAGGAATACGTAAATTTTATGCAAGATTTTGAAATTTTAAATCATATGGAAGAAATCGAAGATACAGAGCCTGAAGATTCCGCAAGTAGTTATTATCTTAGTCATCACGCAGTTGTTCGGGAAAGTTCTTTAACAACTAAATGTAGAGTTGTTTTTAACGCGTCCGAAAAAACAAGTACGGGTATTTCTTTGAATGATGTACAGTACAGTGGTCCCGCTTTACAAAGTGATTTGTTTGGTATACTTTTAAGATTTAGAATGCATAAATTTATTATTACGGCTGATATATCTAAAATGTTTAGGCAAATACTCGTATCCGCTGAAACCCAAGAATATCAAAAACTATTTTTTCGCGTTAATCCTAGTGATCCAATAAAATGTTATAAAATTAATCGCGTAGTTTATGGTATGGCTTGTGCTCCATTTTTAGCGATACGGTGTATATTACAAGTTGCGTATGATAATCGTAAATTACATCCACAAGTTGCAAATATTTTGGAGAATGACATGTACGTGGACGATCTTATTACAGGCTCTGATACCGAAGACAACATTTTGCAGATTCAAAAGGACATATCCAAGATTTTATCTAGTGCAGGTTTTGATTTACGAAAATGGCTGTGTAATGATTTAAATTTACTAAATAAATTTCAAGTAGAAGAATCCTTAGAAGCTGGTATTCTAAATATAGGTGAAGATGAGTCTAATAAAACCCTAGGCATTTATTGGAATTCTAATAATGACACAATCAAGTACACGGTTGGTAAAATAAATATTTTTAAAATCACGAAACGGTCAACTCTGTCTATAATCAGTCAAATATACGATCCACTTGGACTGTTACAACCAGTAATCATAGTAGCAAAGATCTTAATGCAAGAAATGTGGAAGGAAAAGATCGATTGGGACGACGAACTACCGGAGAATATTTTACAAGAGTGGTTGAGCTTTCAGGAAAATTTAGAATTTATTAATAATATTGAAGTTGAAAGACACGTATTTCTTTCAAACTATATTAGTCTTGAAATACATGGATTTTGTGATTCATCCATAAAGGCATACGGTGCATGTATTTACATTAAATGTACCACAAATAGTTTTTCCAGTTCAAACTTGATATGCAGCAAATCACGAGTAGCGCCAATAAAACAAGTAAATTTGCCAAGATTGGAACTGTGTGGTGCAGTGTTGCTGGCACATTTAATGAAAAATGTATGTGAATCGCTCAAGGTAAATTTTACAAGAAAATTTTACTGGTCAGATTCTATGATCGTATTATGTTGGATTCGAGGATGTCCCAGTGAATGGAAAACCTTTGTAGGTAATCGTGTGGGGGAAATTCAAACCCTTTCAAGACCAGACGAGTGGAGACACGTAAAGAGTGAAGATAATCCCGCAGATATGCTTTCGAGAGGTGAGACACCTCAAAGGTTATGTCACTCAAAATTATGGTGGCACGGACCAGACTGGTTATGTTTCAATCGCGATATTATGGAAAATGAACTACAAGTTTTTAAGGACATTCCAGAGCGAAAGTTATTGTGTGGTATTTCTGTGTCAAAACGTTTCTGTGTTTCTAGTATTGTTTCGGAATTATTGGAGAGGTGTTCAAGTTTGGAAAGGTGTATCCGCGTATTAGCCTATGTGATGCGATTTTTGGATAATGCGAGAGGGTCGCCCAACAGTAGGCGGACGGATGAATTATCGCCCGTAGATTTGGAAGGTGCGCTGACTCGTATTGTTAGGAGCGTACAAATAGAGTGTTTTCCTGAAGAATATGCGAGTTTGAGTAATGGTAGGTCTCTTGCTAGTAATTCCAAACTGTTATCACTTAACCCGTTTATGTATGAAAATTTAATAAGAGTAGGTGGTCGTTTAGCCAATTCTAAATATCCTTTTAATATACAACACCAGATCATTATTCCGTCTTCTCACAGGTTTACAGATCTTTTGATATTACGCGAACATATTAAATTAATGCATTCAGGCGTGCAAGCAACATTGTTTTCGGTTAGACAAGTTTATTGGGTACTGTCTGGTAGAAACGCGTGTAAACGAGTTATACGGCGTTGTATACGTTGTTTCAAAGTGAACCCTAGATCTTCCGACTATTTAATGGGAAACCTTCCAAGAGAACGTATAACTGTTGCTTTTCCTTTTGCTAATGTGGGAGTGGATTACGGTGGTCCCTTTTTATTAAAGGATAGATCGACACGCGGTGCTAAAATAGTAAAAGCATACTTATGTCTATTCATCTGTATGAGCACAAAGGCAGTACATTTAGAAGCTGTATCAGAACTTACAACAAAAGTATTTCTAGCAACGTTTGATCGTTTCATTAATCGACGTGGAAAACCTGATAATATTTTTTCCGACAATGGAAAAATTTTTATACGGGCAAATACTGAACTTAGAAAACTCTATGAATTCTTGGTTAATAATGAAAAGGAAATTTCAAATTATGCTACACGCGAACGAATAAAATGGAATTTTATTCCGCCTAGATCACCTAACTTCGGGGGCATTTGGGAAGCGAATATTAAGCGCGCAAAATTTCATTTAAAACATTGTATCGGACCATTTTCCGTAACTTTCGAAGAATTTTCGACTATTTTAGCACGCATTGAAGGCATCCTAAATTCTCGTCCTCTTACCCCTCTCTCCTGTGATCCCAATGATCTGCAAGCCTTGTCACCTGGTCATTTTTTAATTGGACGACCTATCACCGCTATTCCATATCCTGATGTGACGCAGTGCCAAGTAAATCGTCTCGACAAGTTTCGTCGACTTCAAGCTATCAGTCAAGAATTTTGGCGGCGTTGGCAAAGGGAATATTTGCCAGAGTTGCAAGTACGAACGAAATGGAAACGGCATGGCAGCAGTATCATTAACGTTGGAAAACTGGTTCTAATAAAGGACATCAATTCACCTCCGATGTCATGGAAGTTGGGTCGGGTCACGAAGCTACATCCAGGCAGCGATGGAGTGGTGCGCGTTGTAGACATAAAGACCGCAAATGGGCAGCTTCGACGAGCTTTATCGCAAGTTTGTGTGTTACCATTAGACTAACCATGTAGCCGTTAACTGTTGAAAGCGGAGACTTTCAAGGCGGGCGGTTTATGTTAAGGATATGACATAATCATATATAAGAAGTGGCAACCGCGCGAGGAAGTGGCAACGCGGGTGACCCTGTGCCGGTTGACAGAAGAAGAAGACAGACTGAAATAAGACATTGCAATTATTATAATTACACAATCACGTTTCCATTTTTATAATTTTCTTTCAATACAGTAATTGAAAATTTAATGTGACAATGTTATTCAACCTAGCCGCCGCTAGTAAGGGCAAGTAACACTCGGAACCAGAGCTATCGAAGGCGCTAACAGATATTAATAACTTAAAATTAAACCAGTCTCAAATTACAGGCAATTAGATGCACCTGAGAGCGTAAATATTAATAATTTTAAAGATAGTATGAACAGTGGTTCAATTTCTTCCAGTTTTCTGTTCCTAGTTTTGGTAATTAATAGTTAGGCTCGATTAGTTTAGTCTGGCTAATTTTGCCACGCCTACTCGATGCAAACTGTGCTCCTATATAAACACTCAATTTGTTAATATTTGTTTTGTTTCATTCATCCGCTGATGATACTAACATGGTTAGCGAAACGCGCGTCCAGTGCAAAATTAAAGTGTTTTAGTATATTGTGGTAAATTCGTGTTTTATTTTGCTGTTGTAACATCCAACCCTCAACTGTAATAAATTTCTTTTGTTAGGAAAATACCACTGAAAAGTTGGTCTTCGTTGGAACAGCGGTGTTTTCAAAAAATAACTATTTTATTTTATAGATTTTCTTACAGTGCTAGTGGCAAAATATCCAGAGGACTTTCTTGAACATAAGTTAATATATTATTTTGAGAAGTTTATAAGAATACAAAATATCTTACTCTTTCGTACTCTCTCTAAATAGTTATTTGTGTAATTAGTGCAAAAAGAACATATTTGTTGCACCACGCAATCCACGCATGATTTTTGCAGCTAAAGACAAAGTCGAGAGCTGCAATCTTGCTGAGTGCAACAAATATGCTTTTTGCACTGCTGCACACAACATCTTTTCTACGATCGAATTGAAATTCTTATTTAAATGTTTATGAAATGTTTTTACGGTAATACACAGAATAATAGTATCACTTTACAATGACACTTATATTCTTTTAATAACATTCTTTGAGTTCATTTCAATTTTAATGGTGCAGTTTGAAAAATTCACTAAGGTAATTGATGGATAAACTTGTGGAGGCCTTGGGTTCTTGTTCCTCACTTAAAATTCTTTTCGGGAATGTTGTTGCGAGGTCTCCAGTACTGGTACTGGTACCTGGTTTATCTTCCACGATTTGACAATTTTTTTCAAAAATTTATAAATTTTTTCTTTTTAGTTAAAGTCGTCATTAATAATGCAAAATGTTTTTGCACTGGTGCAAAAAATAAGTTACTAGTGTAAAAAAAAATGACTTTTAATACAGTAGATAGTGTAAAAAATAGGTACTTTTTGCACGATCGTAGAAAAATATATTTTTTAGTTATTAGCTGCTTAAAAAATAAAGGATCGTCTAATTTAATTATTCCAATATTCTTTTGTCCGCTAGTTAAATCTCGATGAATAATAAATAAGTGTAAGAAATACTCCTTACATAATTACAGCTGGCTATGTGTATGAATTCAATAATTTTTTTATCCATACTTCACGTCCAACTTGTAACATTAAACAAACTTTCTGAAATAGTATTATCTGATTCTGGAAAATTGTATAGCTAAAGTTTTTGCTGCAGCTGATACAAACTTTTTAAAATTAAGGTCTACAGCAACTAGTGGAAACGTTGTAGAAATTATTTTAGAGCACGCAAAAGTTAGAAAAGGAAGTTGGGTCAAATATAATTTCTGATAAAACTTATTTTAAATACAAATCTATAAAAAAAATATTAGCAGCTAATAAGGAATACTGAAAATTATACTGTCTGCTCTAGTTGTTTTAATATTGTTAATATTTTACACTGGTATTTATAACAACCTACAGTAAATCAAGGAACAAAAATGGTATCTAAGATTATTAAAGAAGACATATTTTCATAAAGATTTGTTTTAAATAAATATTGTATTAAAAAACTAAAGTATACAGGGTTGTTCACCACATACGACACGGAGTATTGTAGCTAAATGATTAGATTTTTACAAATTGTAAGTTTTGGGTTCGTTGAAGGACTACTAGAGCTACAATTTAAAAATATTTTTACAAGATACAGAGTGTCCCAAATAATAAAAAATATCAAAGTTGTATCTTTTTAAATGGAATACCCTGTATATTATTACATTTTTAGTTTCTACGATTAAAATAAAGGTAAACTTGAATAAGGTTTATTACACTTAAACCTTACCGTTTTTGAAATATTTTCAATTTTGTGAAATTGCAGTAAAAATTTTAAGGCTTCATTTCTCCGAGGGTACCACAGTTTTTAATACTAAATATTTACTGAAGTCTATTTATTGATCAATTTTTGTGTTGCAAAAATAAAAATAATACTACCTCATACAGAGTGTCTAAAAATTTATTTTAAATTATTTCTAGCTTTAAACGGCAATAACTTGTTTAATTTAAATGGACCGCCCTGTATATTTTAGGAGAATCAGATGCACAATTTAATTGTCTATCAAATTGTATTATACCACTTTTTACCTATCCCTTCAAGTTTTTGTAGAAAATGCATTTTCTTATAATTTAGACCTCATTTATCAATATACCCATGGAATATTGACATTTCAGATTGTTTTTAAAGCAACAAATGTACAAAATGTACAGGCTAGTAATATTATCGTTTTTAGCAAAATGATAATATTACTAGCCCATTTGTATGCAAAAAGAAAACTATTTAAATCTTTAAAAAATATACTTATATACTTATATTATATACTTTATAAAAAATATACCATTAATTAAATATACCACCATTATTTCCGTCCAAATACTAATTAATTACATACTTAATTATGTTCTATAAATTATTCTAAATAAATGTGGATTTGAATCAGAAATCAATATAATAATAAGTTATGAAAATAAATGTCTCTGTTGTTATAAATAGGCATTTGTCAAAAAATTAAATAACATTTTTAAGGTGTTACTTTTTACTACACCGTCTAATACACATACAAAATTAAGTTTTTTAGTATTTGGAGCAATTATTATTAATCAACCCAAACAGTCAATAATTAATGTAGTTTGAATACTGGAATCATATTAATTGGTCCTCTTTAACAAATATTTAAACAGTTTTTTTATTTTTTAATGAAATAAACAAACTATATCGACAATATTAGTATCTGTACTCTTTAAAAATTTGGTACATCTGTAAAAATAATCTAAAATGTCAGTATTCCACGGATATATAGATAAATGAGTTTTAAATTACAAGAAAATGCATTTTCTACGGAAACTTGAAGAGATAGGTAAAAATGATATAAACCAATTTGATAGACAATTAAATTGTGCATCTGATTCTCATAAAATATACAGGGTGTTCTATTTAAATTAAACAAGTTATTGCCGTTTAAAGCTAGTAATTATTTAAAATAAAATTTTAGATACTCTGTATAAGGTAGTATAATTTTTATTATTGCAACACAATAACTGATCAATAAATAAACTTCAGTAAATATTTAGTATTAAAAACTTTGATACCCTTGGAGAAATGAAGCCTTAAAATGTTGACTGCAATTTCACAAAATTGAAAATATTTCAAAAACGGTAAGGTTTAAGTGTAATAAACCTTTATCAAATTTACCTAACTAAACTAAAAATGTAATAATATACAGAATGTTCCATTTAAAAAACTACAACTTTGATATTTTTTATTTATTTGGGACACTGTGTATCTTGTAAAAATATTTTTAAATTATAGCTCTAATAGTCCTTCAACGAACCCAAAACTTACAATTTGTAAAAATCTAATCGTTTAGCTACAATACTCCGTGTTGTATGTGGTGAACAACCCTGTATACAATTATTGTTTAAAAATATTATACATTTCAAATGGGAGAAAATGGCGTCTAGTTGGCTGGAAAATGACGATCGATGACATCTCCCATAAAAATTTGCATATAAAATGATAGCGATCTTCATTTCATAGCCATCGCTGACGCCGTTTTTTTTTCGATCATAAGGTATAAGTAATATTATTATTTATTATTTCAATAATTTAATTGCTTTCTCATTTATTACCAATTTTTTTATTCTTATAGTTACTACCATAGTTCAATTAAGGTTCTTAAAAATGCGGATTTTAAAATATGGTTCAAAATTCAACTACATTAGTTATAAAGTCATACATAAGTTATAAAGTCATATTTTGCGGGATATATTCATATAGATACAAGTTCTCCGCTAAAGTCAGTTTATCTGTATCTTAGGAATAAAATGCCCGATAGTAAAAATAGAGAAGGATGTTTCTGGACCTGATTCATGCAGTATGGTAATTCCCTGTGGATACTTTATATCTTGTTTATATACCGTGCGTCGCAAAAATGGCTCAACCCTATAACTTTTTTATTTTGTCAGATAAAAAATCGAGATTTGGTATGTTAGTGTATGATATAAAATAGGATTGATTGACGTATTCATTTGTTTTCGGTCACTTCCTGTTTTACTGGAAATGACTACAACTTTTGATTTTTAAATGGCACCTTCAGTATTTTGTTACTATTATATATTCGATAGAAAATGACACTCTGAATAGAATGACATATCATATGTCAACTTTTGATATTTTTGAATAGGGCTTATTTGAAATTGCAACATGCGATTCATAACGACCATTTGACTCGAAATACCAAGCGTGTGCAACCAAATTATTCCTAAAAAATTCTTTTTTTAAATATGCTAATGAGCCACCCCCGTTCCATTTGAAACAAAAATTGAGATATTATTAAAAATACCATTTGACTTTTAACCGACTAGGACAAGATACTAAAAATATTAGACGATCAAATATATTTTTCCAAGATTCCTTGATTAAAAATT